AAAAATTAAAAAATAAATTAAAAATAAATAAATAAATATATAAAAAAAGAGTTTGTTGGTTCTATGAATACCCCGTGGTTATATGGCCTTCTGAATTTGTAATTTAGCTGGAAAAGACACACAGCTCAATGGTAGTGTGAGGCTCTAGGATCAATCCTAGCATCACACAAAAAAGAGACAAAGAAAGGGCCACACAGATAGCTCAGTGGATTAAAGAGCCTTCTTAGGCAGACGCAGGGACTGGGGTTTGATCCCTGGCATATTATGCCAGTGCAGGCCCCACCCTCAGGGTACACTGAGAGGGCAATTGAGACTGGGTGTGGTGGTGTGTGCCTGTAATCCCAGCTCTCAGGAGGCTGAAAACAGGAGACTCATGATGAGTCTGATATGTATAGCGGGACCCTGTAGACCATGTACTAAATACAAAAAAGAAAAAAAGGAAATTTTGTGGTACAGCATTTTCAAAACATAGTCTTAATAAATAAGCTCAAAAAGGATCCAAAGTGAAATCTGGCACCTTATTAACTCCATATTTCTTGAAACTAATTTATAAAAGGCTACACTTTTCTTCCTTTCCTCTCCTTCCTTCTTCATCTTCTGGTCTTTCCAGAGGGACTAGTGATCTTCCACATGACCAAGAACATTATAGCCTGAAACTAACGATCCATTTAAAAAGCAAGTTCTCCTAGCCTGGGATGGGGGTTGTCACTGAAGACGAAGGTCACAACTCTGAGACTAGTTATGATCCTGAGGCTGCCAACTTCCAGGCTACTGAAAGTGAGACTAAGGAGTTTCATTTTTAAAGTGTATTTAATGTTATTAAATATAAATACCTGTTTCTGTTACAATTGTAACACTGCCTTAGAGATTTCTTTTGCCTCTCCCTTTTTCTTTAACATCTTTAGTAACTGCTTGTTTCCAACCTCTTTTCTGTTACTACCAAGCTTATATAGCTTGACACAGTTATATCAAAAGCAGAGAATCAATGAAAAGCAATTTCAAAAGCCAGTTTTAAAATGTGTTTTTCTTCTGGGTGGCTGGTACATTCCTGTAATTTTAGCTACTTGGGAGGCCAAGGCAGGAGGATTACAAATTCAAGGCCAGGATGGGCAATTTAGTGGGAGCTTGTCTCAAAGTAAAGAGAGACAAAAATGTGCTTTATCAATGAAAAGTACCATAAACAATTATTTTAGAACTTTTGGTCACAGTTCATATATAAAAAGAAGTAACACATCTCTGAATGCTTGAAAGTGAAACCTTTACAATATATACTCAAATTCTTTTTCAGCAACAGTTCCATGACAAAGTGAGTAATATTAAATACAAGCACAGTACAACTGCCCAGAAATAAAAGAGCAATTGAAGATCGTATTATTTACCTATTCATTGTGATTAAGACACAAACTAGTGAAGAGCAACATATCAAATGCAACAAATGCAATGTGGTAGTCAGTGAAGAAGTATGTGATTTCTGTCTCTTGCAATATTTACCACAATACAAACACTAACCTTACCTCAATTTCAATAGATCTGGGATAACTGCTAATGACACACACTTATTATTTTAAGATATTGAAATTATTTAAAAAGACCGTGAGCCATCAAGGAAGAAATGTCCAAAGTTCCAAACCTCCCCCAACCATTTTTCCTCCCCACTCCCCCTACCATGTAATGCAGTAAGCAGTCCTTTTGAAAAGCACAAATGTAGGTGTTTGGAATAAGCTATGTTTTTCTGTCAGGAATTAAATAATGGCCTCATCTGTGGGACTGATGTAACAATCAAACCCTCCTTTCTTTGCTTAAGTACCTTAGGGGTAGGAAGTAGGTAGGAGGATGGAACATTGAAAACAATATCAGTATTCAGGGAAAGGATTCAAAAGTATTTAAGTAATGTGAACAAGTTATATGTGTCTCTACCCACTTCTGAAAGACTGCTAACTAGATTGGTTTTTTTCATTTGGAATTTGAATAAATACAATGAAACTTACTATTTTGAGCCAGGGCTTGAAGCAGACAATCCAAGCATCCTTCCAAACTATCCTCAGTCCTGTCAACAGCTGTTATCTTCAATTTCTTTAAGGTATCACTGAGATTATCTGTTTAAAAAAAAAAATAAAGTCAGAAAGTTATCAATTTTATTTTTATACACGGTCTCACTATGCAGTTCAGACTTGTGATCCTCCTGTCTCAGCCTCCCCCATGCTGGGATTACAGATGTGTGCCACCATGTCCGGTTCTGGGCCAGCATGGTGTGCCTGGAGTTCTTAGGATCAAACTTGGGACCTTGTGCTTGCCAGGCAGGCACGTAAGCCGCTTAGCTATCTCCCTGGCCCAGAAACTTACCAACTTTATGACTATCATTTTACACTGAAAGGTTCATGAAGTTACTGCCAACATGTTAAAGGGCTGCCGTTATACTTCATTTCCACATACCTTCCAAATGGTACTGGAGTGCACTATTACAATTTTTTAAAACTGTCCATTTAACTCAGTATAAAAGAATCATTCTATAAATAATTATGGTGCCTAGGATATTCTAGATTATCACTGAATGCCTTTTTTAATATTCCGATAATGAAGGAACCACTTGGGGAAAAAAGGAATCAGTATGTGAACTTTATGTACGTCAATATTTATTTGGCATTGTAGATTGAGTCCAGGGCCTTCACAATGAGCCACAACCATACATTTTTTTGAGACAAGTTCTTACAAGAAAGCCAGAAAATTAACGTTATCTGCAAAACTGCATGCCTGTTTTGTAGATGTTTAGTTTTTCTCAACTGTACTTCGTTTCTGAACAAGTGCAGTAAGACAGAAAAATACTACTAAAATGGCATAGCTACAATCCCAGGTATGGGAATTATAGGAATCCTGAGTCAAAAGGATCACAAGCTCAAACTCAAGCCTGGGCAACTTGGAAAGAAACTGTCAGTGTCACAGTAAGGTAGATGTTAGGTAGTAAAAAATAATTTGGTACAGGGTCTCACTACACAGCTCAGACTCATAGTAATCCTCCTGTTTTCAGGCTCCCCAGTGCTGGGATTACAGGGGTACACCACCACACCTGGTCTCAGTGGCTGGTTCAGTGTGCACCACCCCCCAAGAGGTGGGGCTGGCAAGGCATGTTGCCAGGGATGGAACCCTGGTCCCTGCACTTGCCTAAGCAGGTGCTTAGTTTGCTGAGCTATCTCGCCAGCCCTGGATCTATGTATTTTTAACCTTTAATTCTACCTAGAAGTTTTCCAAACAAGACTGAAGGACTTTGTTTTCCTTTCAGCTATATATTGAAAGTATTTCTTTTCTAGTATCTTGGCTGACAATAAATACTAAATAAATTCCTGACGGTCTAACAGATTTTTGTATCTAATTTTTAAAAAAAATTCAGTATTTTAATTACTGTAAATGTCAGCATCTTTGTGTATTAGTTGGCAGCTGGGTTTGCTTTCCTGTAAAATGTTTGTGCACACTTTTTGCCATGTGCTCAAATAAGGCTGTCTTGTACTTATTGTACAGTACAGACATCAACTTTTTCACTCAACAGAACTTTCTTTCCTAAAATTAATAATCCATCAGCTTTATTTATGTTCTCTCCATCACAACCAATTTTCTTCTATAGCATCTCAATTTCCTGCTGCCATTGAGAAAGTCTCTTGGGCTTCCAAAAAACAACTTCACTACCTTTTTTTAATTTTTAAAAATTATTTATGTGGTACAGGGTCTTACTACAGTTAGGACTTGCAGTGAACCCTGCTGTCCCAGCCTCCTCAGTGCTGGGATTACATGTGCACACCACCATGCCTGGTTTCAGTAGCTGGCACAGTGCACTCAGGGTTCCAGGGCCCATGTAGCATGTGGTACCGGGATTCAAATCCAAATCCTTGCACTTGCCAGGCAGGTACTTAGAAGGCTGAGTTATCGCCCCAACCTATTTCCTTCATTACCTTCTAATGCTATGATTCTTTTCAAGTCTTTTATTATTGGAATTCATTTTTACATATGGCCTAAGATTGAAATTTACTTTTTTTTCTTATGTCAAGAGTTTGTAATATTCCATCTTTTCCCCATTCACTTAAATTATTACCACTCTCTCATACTCAGAAATTATTTCTGAAATCTCTTCTTTCCAATAATCATCATCTATTCAAATACCATATTGATGTAATTACACTAGTTCTATCTCATATTCTGGTATCTAGTAAGACTTGTCATAATACCACTTTCTGAGCTTTCTTAACTAGATATTTTTCTTCTCTAAGAACTTTAAAATTATCTAATCACTTCACAGTAAAGGAATGACTGATAGATTTTAAAATGCACAAAAAATGGATTTAAAAAACTCCTGAGTTTATAATTAAAATTACATTAAATTTACGTTTTAATTTTGGGATCATTTTCATTTTTACTATTTTATTACATGCAAGTATTTCTTTAAATACATGTATTTAATTTTGGCCAGATCTACAATAAAATCTGTTTTATATAGATCCTTTGACTATTATTTCAACACATTTTAGAATTTTGTCATTAGGGAAAAGTAAAACATCTATGTGTAGGTAGACATGCCTTCAGCACCATCCAAATTATCTTTAGTGAATCAGGTGTGCTTGGGTTAGGCAGAGGCAATGGCGGCCTCACCAAGGTAGGTCAGATACATGCACAGTGGCCAGCTGGTGACTCCTGCTGATGAGGTCCATACTTGTGGAAAATGCTCTGGTCTGGTGGTTCCTGTCCTCATGTGCATACCTGCAGCTGGGGCCTTCAGTACAACCCCATACAACCATGACTTCTGCTTTAAAAGAGAAGAATGATCTAAAAGAGGTAAGGTGTTGCTGGAAAAGGCCACTAGGAATACAGCTGGAAATCCAAGATTGAAACAAAAATAAATAAACGGCAACAAAAATCAGAGAAGAAATCAGAACTTCTTGACACTGCAAGCCTGGCTGCTGTGGTTGCTCCTATCACAACATGATACACAGTGAAGATCAGTAACTATGAATGGGATCAGTAAGATAGGTTTGTAAAAATTGACATTACCCTAATTGGAGTTTGTAAAGTTCCTGGTGAGAATGTGCAGGTGCATTTCATGGAGAGGTCATTTCATCTTTGGATAAAGTATCTAAGTGGGAAGAGCTATTTCATGATTATGAACAATCTATTGAAACCTACTCAATCAAAGGCAGTTCAAAAAATAATTAAGACTGATACAGTGTTTCTGTGTACAAAAAAGCAGAAAACACTCAGGGAAAGTATTTAACTCATGTTGAAAGAGAGTACAAAGAAAAAGAAAAGCCATCCTACAATGCTGAGAGAGAGGCTAGTGTGGCTTTTCAGGGGATGGGGACCCTAGATTAATCTTGTCCTTAGCCAAAGCAGCTCTAGTTTAGTATCCAGTTCATCTTAGAAAGGTGAGACAGAATCAACTAAGTTTGACTACTTAGAATGATAGGGGGAAACCTGGGCTGGGGCACTTCTATCTGACCCTGCCTGAATTGCCTCATCCTTCACTCCTCCCCATGCCTTATTAAAACTTCACAAACATGAAAGAGATAAGGGAAGAAACATGACTAATTAAAGGAAGTAGAGTCAAACCATATGCTCTTAGGCAGTCGTAAATCTCTGTGCCTGGATGGATAACCTTGTTTCAATGATCGTTCGAATCTTACACCGGTGGGCATATAACAGTCCACTATGGTCAGGGTGGTAACCAGGGAAACTATATAAACAAAAGTGAAGAAAGAACTGTGCCGCATATTCCCAATTTTGTAAAAGGTGGGAGCACGTAGCAGACACTAGGAAATAATAAAGATTCTGTTACTCCTATAATACAGTCTTCCACGGACAATAATCCAGCCACCACAGTAGTATTAATGAATGTTTTAAAGAAAATTTATGAAGACAGAGATGATGCTATAAAGTGAAACATCAATAAAGCTTAGGTGGAATCAAGAGAGAAATGAAAGGAGATATAAAATTTTGAGACTTTGAAGTCCTTTTGAAAACATGATACAGAAATAATGGTATTTGTAAAAAGGGAATGTTGGTTAGGAGCACATAGAAATTTGACAGGTAGCTACAAGCCTTCAAAAGTCTTCAAAGTAAAGGCAGTGAATTCCCCACTTTGAACTGGAGGATTTATTTAAGTAAGATATGCAGAGCCAGGGAAATAGCTCAGTGGTCTAAGTGCCTGCCTGGCAAGTGCAAGGACCCAGGTTTGATCCTTGGTACCACATGCTGTGCCAGCCCTGGTTTGCCAGGCACACCATGCCAGCCACAAAAACCTGGCATGGTGACACATGTCTGTAATCCCAGTGCTGGGGAGGCTGAGAGAGGAGGATCACTGCGACTCTAGACTGCATAGCGAGACCCTGTACCAAATAAATAAATAAAAGATTTTTTAAAAAAGATATGCATATTAAAGTACTCCCTACAAAGATGGTTTCATTACTACCCTGGTCATTTTGTTCATGAAAGCAAGTCTTGCCTAATGAAAACAATATAGTGTATCTTTGCTCAGTAGGAAGTAGAAAACAAAAGTATATGCTTGCCTATAAGTTATAGATGTCAGCTCCCAGTGATGTAAAAATAGAAGTAAAACTGAACTTTTATTCAAATTTGTGCTTCTACTTCAAGTATGCTGTAGAACAGATGATCCCCTATGGCATGCTTGAGCAGTGCAAAGAGCAGGGATTACCATGCACTAATCCAATCATAAATGTTTCTATCTGAAATATATTTATGCATACAGAATCGAAGTAATAAATAATCATCTTCCTATAGTACCAGTTAGTAAGTTCTACATGGATCAGTTATTTTCCAAACTAATATACATAAAGTAAAAATAATTTGAAAATCTATTTCTATGTTCAAGAAAGTTGGATTATGTTAAAAAAAAAACTATCTTATAAATCAGTAGGTTTTAAAAAAACTTGAATCTTAATTTTTATGCATGTAATTATCTGATCAGCAAATATACATCATGCTATCTCTTTTCTGATATTTTACACCAAAAGAAAAATAGTTCCAAACTACATTATTTCATGACCTGCTAATACAACTCTTTAATACAGAAATCCTTTACCTCTCTTAATAACACTC